TTACACGTCAGCACGCATCGCAAACGAGCCAGTCAGGGCACCAGTGCTCGAGGAGAGTGTTGACCATGCTTCGTCTGTGCGACAAGAGGAACGATAGGCAAGACGAGGAAAAACGGAGCACCAGTGGAGAAGACGGCAGCATGAGCAAGCATGAGAAGCTACTAGGTGCATGAGACGGTGCTGGGAGCACGAGACGATGCTGGGACTCCCCAGATTGCGGGCCGCGCAATTTGCGGATGGAGCACGAGACGGTGCAGTGTCCATTTCAACCGTTAGAGCACTATTGCAGATGATTCGTTCTGCGTGACGAGGCGTGCAACCAGACAGGGCGACGTGAAGCACAATAGGTAGGAAGTCGTAGAGCACAATGGTAGGGAGTCTTACAGCGATAGATGGTGACGGTTTGGAGCTGGCAGCGGCCGGCGATGGCGCTGCAGGCGAGCGAGAGCAGCACTGCCGCACGGGACAAACGACAAAAGTCATTATGAGAAATGATTTCTTGTCTAAACGGCGAGCGGACAGATTTTTCAAACAATCGGCGGCGCTTACCGAGATCAGAGAGAGCGACATGGCAAGGTCAGAGTATAGCGGCGGTGAGATTATCGGATAACTCACCAGCGAGGACGAGCGCGGGTCGTAGCGACGTGTGGGCCATGGCTGCTTGGGAGGTACAACAAGTAGCTCTGGGCTTGTCGATGCTGCAGCGAATCACTGCATCCGAATGCTCGCACGAATGAAGCTACTGGTGAATTACGTGCTCAATGCTAGCTGCTTCTATAGCTGTTTCTATAAGTCAGCCGAGCTGGTTTCCATCTCAAAAAAGTGGCCCTTAAGAATGGCAATTTACAGCCATAATCGCCATGCATATGGCGGGTTTATGGCCTTAAATTGGCGGGCTGTATGCAGGCTGCTTCGTAGGCGTTTTGGGCCCGTGAATTGCCCGGCTGTATATTGACTAGAACAGCCATTCATGACGTGGTCGTGTATGGTCATGTACTTGAGGACTAGAAACTTCCATATATTGTCTGCCTGTAAATGCAACTGAATAGTAGGAGCATTTATGGTCACAAATTTGACGAACACATATGTCCATTTATTATGTGACCGTAAATGTGACGGTATGCATCCAGTGTGACAGCTACAATGCACGTTCATTTTATAAAATTGCTTTTTTGAAATTGGTTGCGAAAATTCTGATATATTTAAATAAAGCACATACGGTACATATTCATATTTGCTACCTAAAGTACACATGATTCAATAACAGTAGCTACCACGAGTCTTGCACTTTGAAGTCACAGTGCATGAAATGGTTGCTGGAATGTTCACTCGTCTTAAGAGAGCTGAGCACGAGCGTTGCACTTGAAATTACAAATAAATCCACCTGCAGAGAGGAACGACGCCACGGTAAAACAAACACAAGTACTGAAAGTCTGAAACAACACTTACCGTGACGTCCTGAAACTGAGGTGATCCCATCCAGTTAGCTAGCGCCAGAAGCATGCAACACCTGCGAACATAATAACAAGCTTGACAAACCTGGCACAAGAATCAACCAATAAAGTGAGATTAGAACAGCCGGAAACGGCGCCAAATTAACGAATGTGAGAACCTCTCTGAGAGAGAGCGTAAGATAAGAACAGCCAAGAATGCAGAAACTGCTATCAACTACAGAAAAGGCGACACAACGCACGATCAGAAGCTCAGCGCCAGACAGGTGGCATAAGACCCGCGTCGGCCAACGAAGTGTTCGGCCTGTGAACAGGAACTATAACGAACGTTTAACTCTCAAACATTATATATGTTGTGTTAGTTTAGGCTACAGTGGGTTAGCCTATAGGGGGTACACAATTCTAGGGTTAGGTACTTGTACTCATTTCACTGCTAGTTCATTCATTCCTGTTCAGTGATTCCAACATGGTATAGAGCAGGTCCTTCCTAGGACCGAAATTTTCTAAGGGCCCACCACTACGTAACTACCTACCTACCTGTGCCCTAGGGCGCCTCGGCGTGTCACGCCCCTAGAGGCCCCTCTTGACGGCCCCGCGCTAGCCCCGTTCAGGCCCCGTCGGCCCCACGCCCGCTCTCCCTAGCGGCCCCGTTCAGGCCCCGTCGGCCCCTTTAAGGCCCCGTTCAGGCCCCGCGCTAGCCCCGTTCAGGCCCCGTCGGCCCCCTCTCAGGCCCCGTCGGCCCGCGCTAGCCCCGTTTCAGGCCCCGTCAGCCCCGTTTAAGGCCCCGTCGGCCTCGCGCTAGCCCTTCTCAGGCCCCGTCGGCCCGCGCTAGCCCCGTTTCAGGCCCCGTTGGCCCCGTTTCAGGCCCCGTCGGCCCCGCGCTAGCCCCTCTCAGGCCCCGTCGGCCCGCACTAGCCCCGTTTCAGGCCCCGTCGGCCCCGCGCTAGCCCCATTCAGGCCCCGATCGGGCCCGCGCTAGCCCCGTTTCAGGCCCCGTCGGCCCCGTTTGACGCCCCGTCGGCCCCGCGCTAGCCCCGTTCAGGCCCCGTCGGCCCCTTGCTAGCCCCGTTTGGCCCCGCGCTAGCCCCGCTCAGACCCCGATCGGCCCCGCGCTCGCCCCTCTAGGGCCCCAACCGGCCCCGTGCCGACCTCGCCGACCCGTGCCCACCACCTAGAGGCCCCGGGCGGCCCGTTCCCGCCGCAGCACACGAGGGAGAGCGGGCGGCCCGTCCCCGCCGAGACCCGAGCCGCGCGACCCGAGCCGCGCGCCCCGAGCCGAGCCGCGCGCCCCGAGCCGAGCCGCGCCACCCATCCGAGTCGCGACCCGACCTGAACCGAGCCGCGCCGCCCTGCCCTACCTGGTTCGTCCTACCTGCTTCTCCTACTGCTACTGCTGCTATTTCTACTGTTCCTATGGCTAGCCCACAGGTTCTCGTGTTCGATGCTGAGGGCCGCCCTGTGAAGTTTGACACCTGGCTCGATGACCTGCACCTCTACCTACAGCTCACAGCCAAGGATGACATCTCACTGTACGATCACGCCATAGGCCATGTCACTGTACCTGCTGCTACTGCTGACAGCACTGCTCGCTCACAGTGGCAGACTCGTGATGCCCACGCTCGCTTCGCCATTCGCAACTCCCTGCCGATAGACGAACGCGAGCACTTTGGTCAGCACAAGACTGCACAGGCACTGTACACAGCTGTAGTTGCTCGCTACTCCTCACCTGCCTCTGCCGCACTAGGCCGTCTCTCCCTCCCCTACCTGTTTCCCGACCTGGCCTCCTTTCACACAGTCGCTGACCTCATCACGCACCTCCGTACTAGTGAGGCCCGCTTCCGTGCCGCCATGCCTGCTGAGTTCCTTACCACGCACCACCCTCCACTCTGGCTCACTCTCTACCACCTAGTCACCCGCCTCCCTGACACTCTGCGTGCTGTCAGGGATCACTTCCTAGCTCGCTGCCCCACTGAGCTCACCATTGCCCTCCTCGAGAAGGAACTGCTTGCAGCTGAGGCTAGCATCGTAGCTGTAGGTGCCTCTCGTGGCGAACCCCGTACCCCGTTCTTTGAGGGGTGTTCTCCTTCCCCCCTCCTTCCCTCTATCGCCTCTGCTGCTGCTGTCGACCTTCTTGGTGCTGAGAAGGTTGGCGTTGCGTCTGCCTCGAGCGGACGCCGCAGCGGCAAGGGCAAAGGGGGCAAGGGTGGTGGCGGTGACGGCGGGGGAGGCGGCGGTGGGGGCGGTGGAGGCAGTGGGGGTGGTGGCTCGGCTGAAGGGGCGATTGGTAGCGGTGGGGGTGGTGGCGGCAGCGGCGGGGGAGGTGGCAGGAGTGGAGGCGGCGGTTGGGGTGGCGGTGGACGAGGCGGCGGCAGGGGTTGGGGTGGTCGAGGAGGTGGCAACGGTGGTGGTGGCCGTGGAGGCACTGGCGGTGGCCAGGGCCAGCAGCACACTCCCTCGCCCCAGGAGGTCCGTGAGTGGTACTCTCAGCACGGGGGTGGGGGTGGTCTTAGCTGCACGTACGTCAGTCGCACTGGTGACCGCACTGGTCAGCAGTGTGGACGACCGCACGCCACACAGCGCTGCTTCTCTCGTCTCAACGACGCTTCGCGTGTTCAGTTCCCTCAGGCCACTGAGCTGCCCCGCTGGCTTGATCTCCTGAAGAAGGGGATTGATATCTATACTCTAGACTTTGATGCTATTCTATCTGCCATGTATGTGATGTCTACTAGTGGAGAGGGTGATGAGTACTTGTGTGTGCCGCCCGACCCGGGCATTAGGGCCAGTGCGTCTGCCGCTCCAGGTACTCGCGTGTCGGCTACCCCAGGTGCTGGTGAGGCTGCTGCTCTAGGTGCTCGTGTGTCTCCCCCCCTTGGTACTGCGTCGACTGCCGCACTACACACCTTCACACTGGACTCAGGTGCTTCTCGCTGCTTCTTTCGTGACCGCACTGCCCTTGAGCCGCTTGCTCGGCCAATTGCTGTCTCCCTTGCTGACCCCTCTGGGGGTCCGGTCATTGCGACCTCTTCCACTGTCCTTCCCTGCCCTGCGGTCCCGTCGGGCACACTGTCAGGTCTCCACCTCCCCTCGTTCTCTACGAACTTGGTGGCAGGATGTGCACTCCAGGACGGGGGTGTTCACCAGTTCACCCCTGCCTACGAGCGCGTGACACACTGCACGTGTGCTCGTACGGGCCGTCACTTGGCTACCTTCACTCGGCAGCCGGGGTCGGACCTGTACACACTGAATACTGAGTCCCCTCAGGTTGCTGCGACTGCGTCCGCGTCCGTGTCAGGTCAGCTGTCTGCCCCCTGCTCGTGTCGCTCTTTGGCACACGAGACTGTCCTCTGGCACCACCGCCTTGGCCACCCGTCTGTGCAGCGGCTTCGTGCCATGCACTCCCGGTACCTTGTCTCTGGCCTGCCCAGGGTCCTTCCTGCCCTCCCACCCTCGCCTGCTCCTACCTTTCTCCCCTGTGTCGAGGGACGGCAGCGCGCCGCTCCTCACTCCTCCTCGTTCCCCCCGACGACTGCTCCCTTACAGACACTCCACATGGACGTGTGGGGCCCAGCCCGCGTCCGTGGTCAGGGTCAGGAGAGGTACTTCCTGATAGTTGTTGACGACTACTCGCGCTACACCTCGGTCTTCCCCTTGCGCACCAAGGGTGAGGTCCCTGATGTCTTGATCCCTTGGATCCGCAGAGCCCGTCTCCAGCTCAGCGAGCGTTTTCACTCGGACTTTACTGTCCTGCGCTTGCACTCTGACAGAGGTGGTGAGTTCTCCTCCGACCTCTTGGCAGCCTACTGTGCTGAGCACGACATTGAGCACTCGTTCACGCTTCCGGCTTCTCCACAGCAGAATGGGGTTGCGGAGCGCCGCATTGGCCTGGACATGGAGGTCGCCCGTACCTCCTTGATCCATGCGGGTGCCCCCCACTTTCTGTGGCCGTTTGCGGTCCAGTACGCTGCGCATCAGCTCAACCTTTGGCCCCGTGTCTCCTTGCCGGAGACCTCGCCCACGCTGCTGTGGACGGGGGAGGTTGGCGGTGCGTCGAGTTTCCGGGTCTGGGGGTCTCGAGCTTTTGTCCGTGATTCGTCTGTGGACAAGCTCTCCTCCCGTGCTGTTCCCTGCGTCTTCCTTGGCTTTGTCCCGGACGCGTCTGGTTGGCAGTTTTACCACGCCACCTCGCGCCGAGTCTTGCCCTCCTAGGACGTCACTTTTGACGAGTCCGTCCCCTACTACCGCCTCTTCTCCTACCGCACTGCCCCGCTCCCCCCCCCCGCCTCTCTTCCTCGCGCCAGGTGCTGCTGTTGCAGACCCCCTCCCCCCTCAGGGTGCCGCTCCCTCAGGTGTGTCTCAGGTAGACCCGGTTGAGCCTGTTGAGGTAGCTGTCGACTCTCGTCCTGCTGGGGGTGCTGAGCCTAGGGGTGCTGAGCCTGGGGGTGTGGAGCCTGGGGGTGTGGAGCCTGGGGGTGTGGAACCTGGGGGTGTGGAGCTTGGGGGTGTGGAGCTTGTGGGTGCTGAGCTTGGGGGTGTGGAGCCTCGTGGTGCTGAGCTGCGGAGTCCGGAGTCTGGGGGTTCTGAGTCTGGAGGTACTAGGCCTGGGAGTCCTGCACCTGGAGGAGCCCTCTCCTCGGAGCAGCTACGTGCGTGGTACTTAGAGTACTGCAGCGTCCGGAGAGGTACCGCTCGAGCCGGACGTACCACTGGGACTGGTGCTAGTGCTTCTTCTCCCGTTTGGGAGCTCCCCTCCCGCGAGCGGATCCGTGAGTGGTACGAGCGGCGCTGCACTCTTCGGAGTGGCGTGCCTCGTGTTACGGACCCCGCTGCTGTTGGAGCAGCTGCTGGTGCTGAGGACCCGGGCGTTGGAGCCGCCGCTGGTGCTGAGGACCCGGGCGTTGGAGCTGCTGCTGGTGCTGAGGACCCGGGCGTTGGAGCTGCTGCTGGTGCTGAGGACCCGGGCGTTGGAGCCGCTGCTGGTGCTGAGGACCCGGGCGTTGGAGCCGCTGCTATTGCTGAGGACCCGGGCGTTGGAGCTGCTTCTGGTGCTGAGGACCCAGGCGTTGGAGCTACCGCTGGTGCTGCGGACCCGGGCGTTGGAGCTGCTACTGGTGCTGAGGACCCGGGCGTTGGAGCTGCTGCTGGTGCTGAGGACGTGGGCGCTGGAGCTGCTGCTGGTGCTGCGGACCCCGGTGCAGGTGTCCCTGCTGGCTCTGGTGTCGCTGCTCGGTCTCGGCCGTACTTTGTTCCGCTCCTTCAGCAGGTTCTTGGTCAGCTTCCTCCTCCTCTTCCTCCTCCCTCCTTAGCGTGTCCTCCGCCTGTCCAGCTGCAGTCGCAGCTACCGTCTGCCTCCTCTCTCCCTGGTCCTGCTCCTTACACTGGTCCGACTGGAGGTCTTACTGAGCGCCGTGAGCCTGCGTCTCGTCCTGCGTCGCCTGAGTCTCGTCCAGAGTCGCCTGTTCGCACTGCTCTCTCTAGTAGTCGAGTCCAGCGTCAGCGTCTTCCTGCTGTCCCAGGCACTCACCGTATGGCGCTTCGTCCGTCCACTGCTCCACAGCGTGTCCCACTGCCATCTCCTCCTGCTTCCTCTCTTCCTGCTCTTGCTGACCCTGGGTCAGACTCTCTTCGTGCTACCAGTCCTACTGTCACGCGTCTCCTGGCTACTGTTATCACTGACCCTTCCTTTGAGTCTGCTGCTGCGTCTGCCTTAGTTGCTGAGCTTGTCGACTTTGCTGCTCGCTGTCGTCTAGACTACGCTGCTAGCCTAGTTGCTGAGTCTGAGTCTGTCTGTCCTCCGTCCGTCGGGGGTGAGTGTGCTCTTGGCACTGACGACCTTGAGGACAGGCAGGAGGAGTTTGAGTGCTTTGCTGCCACTTTGCCCCATCTCGTGTCCATGCTTGTTGCCCCTAAGGGAGACCCGGATGCACCAGACATCCCGACCCCTCGCTCTTACGCAGAGGCGATGGTCGGTCCCTACTCCTCTCAGTGGCAGTCAGCCATGGACACAGAGATGGCTTCCTAGAAGTCCATAGGCACCTACGTCGACGAGGTTCCCCCACCTGGGGCGAACATCGTCAGTGGCATGTGGATTTTCAGGGTGAAGCGGCCGACGGGCACTCCGTCTGTCTTCAAGGTGCGTTACGTTGCACGAGGCTTCAGTCAGCGAGAGGGAGTTGACTTCTTCCAGACCTTCTCCCCGACCCCGAAGATGACCACTCTTCGGGTTCTGCTGCACGTCGCCGCTGAGCGTGACTACGAGCTCCACTCGCTTGACTTCAGCACTGCTTTCCTGTAGGGCAGCCTGCACGAGGAGATCTGGCTGCGCCGTGCACCTGGCTTCACTGGGTCGTTCCCTCCTGGTACCCAGTGGAGCCTCCGACGGCCAGTCTACGGTCTCCGCCAGGCGCCTCGTGAGTGGCACGACACAGTGAGGACTACGCTTGCGGCTCTTGGGTTCGCTCCTTCTACTGCTGACCCGTCGCTGTTTCTACGCACCGACACCTCACTACCGCCGTTCTACGTCCTTGTGTACGTCGACGACTTGGTCTTTGCTACTGCTGACACTGTGGCACTCGCCCACGTGAAGTCGGAGCTGCAGAAGAGACACACGTGCACAGACCTGGGTGAACTGACAAGCTATCTTGGCTTGCGGATCACCCGGGACAGAGCACGCCGCACCATCACCTTGACTCAGTCACACATGGTGCAGCAGGTCCTTCAGCTCTTCCGCTTCACGTACTCCTCGCCTCAGCCCACTCCTCTGCCTACCGGTCACTCGCTCTCAGCTCTGCCTTCGGATGAGTCCGTAGAGCCGAGTGGCCCGTATCCAGAGCTTGTGGGTTGCCTCATGTACCAGATGACCTGCACTCGACCAGACCTTGCATACCCTCTCAGCATTCTTGCACGCTATGTCGCTCCCTGCCGTCACCGGAAGGAGCACATGTGTGAGAGGACGTCCCCGTTATAATATTTTCTCACTATTATATTTTTCCGTTATCCCATTCTCCCTTTTCTCCTTTTTTTTTGGTCTTTATCTAATCTCAATCGGCCTACTATTCTATTTTCTAGAGCCTTCTATTTATTTCTCTTATTTCCTACTTTTCCCACCGACATACCTATTATACGGCACCGACAGCGCCGACAGTGGTGTATACGGTGTAATCTGGGCGTAATCCCAAGTGCCAATAGACTTGCATGCTTATGCGCACTTGTGATTGTAGTATCGGGAAGGGTGTGTTCCCGAAGGTTCGTTTTATCTCGTTTATCCTTGTACTTTCTGAGTATAAATAGGCCTTGTATTCAGTTTTAGTGACAAGTTTTCGATTGAGAATTCGATCCTGTGACACTTGGTAATCAGAGCCGTTCTCACTCGACAACTCTCGGCTAAGCAGCGGTCGCGGAAAAAATCGCCTCGAAAAACCGCCGGGGGCGACCAATTCGACGCCGAAATCTGGTAAGTACCAGTTCCGCTCTTTTCGAATTAACCCCCTCGCGTGGTTTTTAAACAGGATGGGTTCGCCGGCGACCAACGACGTTACGCAGCAGCTCTTCGCGCAAATCACCAAGATGGAAGCGGAGATGCGAGCGACGACTGAACGGTCGCGATAGGAGAACGAGCAGATGCGAAACGAATAGCAGCGCGTTACGCAACTCCTCTCGACTATGAACATTCCTGCTTCAACGACTTCGCAGCAGTCGCAGCGTCAGTTCGAGGTTCCGAAACTTCGTTCGCCAGAATCGTTCGACCCTAGCGATCGAAAATCCGACGTCAGGCGGTGGCTCGCGACGATGGAAATTTATTTCGCGGCGATCGGATGGACGACAACGGAGTACGACGGCGAGAAAATTCGTCTCGCGACAACGTTGATGCGCGGTCCAGCTCTCGAGTGGCTCGGAAGCAACAGTAGCATTTTCCAGGGCGAAGCCACGTGGCAGCAGTTCCGGGCAGACCTTCTCAAACGTTTTGAGCCGATTAATTCCACTTATATTGCGCGCGAAAAATTACATCACCATAGGCAATTCGGGAGTGTCGCGCAATACACGCAGCAGATGGAGGAATTTTATAATCGCATTCCCGACATTACCAAGGGCGAAAAAATTCAGTCCTACATCGCGAGGCTGAAAACCGACATTCGGCGCCAGGTTGCAGCAGCGAATTGCAGCAGCTACAGCGAAATCGTATCGGCCGCGGAGCGTTTTGACTTGGTCAACTCCGGGACACGACGACCCTGTCAGAATATTATTCTTATGTTCTAGCCTGTAGTGGGGTGCTCTATAGCGAGTACAACCCTTCTAGGGTTTGCTATTTGTATCCCCATTTCTGCTAGTTCATTCCTCTTTCTTTCTTCAAACTTTGTCAGACCCCACATCGTCGGATCACGACAAGGGGATCGCTCGGCTTCAACCACGTTCGCCGACCCCATGGAAGTCGACAAATTCGACGCGAGTTCACGTCCTGCAAAAAACAAAACACTTTGCGAATTTTGCGGCGGAAACGGACATCGGATTGTCGACTGCTTTCACATGAAATCTGCACGTGCGGCATTCCGAGTTCGTGGGAGTGGCGAAAATAAAAACAAAAAGTCAAAAAACGGATCTCGCCAGTGATTGCGGATCGGGCTGGCGAGAAAAAGCAGATCCGAAAGCGTCAGCGCAATCTGGACCGAATCGAAATTCAAGGACAGCATTGGGCGCGAGATTTGGAGAATCAAGGGCGAAATCCCAAGCCCCTTGACCGAAATTTGTCAGAGGAATTCGCAGAGGAAAAGAAAACCTCCGCGAAAACAGACTCGACCAAGACGAGAACTCTCCAATTCGACCCCGGAAAAAAACAGAATTCGTTAAAGTTATCTTTCAAAGATGCTTTAATGAAGACTGGCGTTTTTCGCGGGTCCGGAGCCATAAACAAATTCCAGGAAGAACTCCAGAGGAAGCAGACAATTAAAGAAGTGGTACCGGTGCCTACGGAGCTGGGGAAAAAATTAAGGAGTGTGGAAAGGAGTAGACCTTTTCACGGCGTCAACGTCCTCTCCCGGAACCAGCCCAAGACGACTCTCCACTCCCTTGGGAAGAAGTCTATGGAGCTGAAGCAGCTGAAGAGGCAGCTGGGAGCTCAAAAGAAGCTGCAAAAACTCCGAAAACCCCTCCAGGATGCATCCAGTGGATCGCAGGCGTCGACCGGATCCACCCCCTCAGGGTCAACTTGTACGGTTACTACCTCTACTCCTGGCGTTGGAGAAGATCCTTTCTCCACGCAGCCCAGGCCAGCTAGTTGTCCAGAAGAAAGCAGTGGAACCACGGTGTGTACTGAATATTGGGATGTACCCTATGATCCTATTAATGAGACTATTTTTGGGTACTCCGAGCAACGCTCACCACTCCTGCTCGAGGTGATCTGCAACGGACAGCGCCTCCAAGCACTCGTGGACAGCGGGGCGTCGCACAGCGTCTATGACAAAAAGGCAATCGATCGACTCGGAAGTGACATCAAGTCTTCAAGCTTCTCTGCAAGGATGGTGGATGGCAGTAAGCTACCTATCTACGGGGAAACACGGTTGCTACTCCAGATTGGACCCCTTCGATGGAAGCCTGCTCTCCCCGTCACAAATATCAAAGGACTCGACGTAATCTTCGGGAGAGACTTTCTTAAAAAGTTCAACCCCGAGATCAACTGGGTTAACCAGACGGCCAACATCAACAACAATGGGAGGAAAATCAGCCTTCCCAAATGGGACGACACGGGAAATATTCCAGTCGAGACACTCGCACGCCTTGAAAAGGACATCAAACGGACCACGGCGGGATTCATGGCGATAGTCAACGAGGCAGACAACGGAGAGAAGCAGACCCAGGAACTTCCTTCCGCAGTCAAGAAAATTCTTGAAGAGTTCCAGGACGTTCTCCCCGACGATTTACCTGATCAACTACCGCCATACCGGACACATCAACACGAGATCGTAGAAGAGCCGGGGTCCAAGCAACCATTTCGAGCACCATACCGGCTGAGCCCGACAGAGCTTGCCGATATGAAAAAACAAATAGAGTATCTCCTGGAGAAAGGGCTGATTCGACCTTCGACTACATGGATGTAGCTAAGAGGGTGTTGCGCTACTTGTGAAGTACGTCGGGCATGGGGCTAGTGCTTGGAGGGCGAGTCCCAGTTGTTCTCACTGGGCACTCAGACGCTTCTTGGGCAGACGACCAGGCTACTCAGCGGTCGTCTCAAGGTTACTCCTTCAGTCTTGGCTCTGGTTCTGTTTCTTGGCGTTCTACTCGCTCTTCTTCTGTTCTCAGCTCCAGTTGTGAGGCTGAGATCTACGCCACAGCCATGGCGGCCCAGGAGCTACGCTGGCTCACCTACTTGCTGACCGACCTTGGAGAGCAGCCTCGTTCTCCTCCAGTGCTGTACGTCGACAACAAGGCAGCCATTGCCTTGTGTGAGGAGCACAGAACGAAGCACATTGCTCTGCGTTACTTCCTTGCTCGAGAGCTGCAGCAGCGTGGTCAGCTTCGCCTGCGTTACGTGGCCTCTGAGGCCAACACTGCTGATGTGTTCACCAAGGCGCTTCAGCCTTGTGACCATCAGCGCTTTTGCACTCTTCTAGGCCTTGTGCCTACTGGACCTCACTTGCTTACTTCTTGAGTCTGTTTGTACTGTGATCTCTATATATATACCTGCATGTTTACTCTTGTTAGGTTGTGATCATTGTACCTTTTGCTCTATTATAAACCTGCATGTGAACTGGTCTTGTGACCACTTGCTTGTGCTCGGAATTTGTGTGGTATCCTTGAGATCCACCCTGAGCTTGTTTTGCCTTGCTTTGCCTTGACTGGTCTTGTGACCCCTAGTTCTCCCCCACTTTGCCTATGGGGGTGTGTCAAACATTATACATGTTGTGTTAGTTTAGGCTACAGTGGGTTAGCCTATAGAGGGTACACAATTCTAGGGTTAGGTACTTGTACTCATTTCACTGCTAGTTCATTCATTCCTGTTCAGTGATTCCAACATTAACTCGATGGGTTCTAAGGTGAACAAGCAACTAAGGAATAATCGAAATTGGTGAGCGAAGTGAGCATTGAGAAGAGATGGCGAGAAGAAAAATGGCGAGAAGTGCAGAATCGATGCCTCGAAGATGAGGTGGGTGGGTTGTTTGTATGGAATGTGCCGAAGGTGGAGGAAGGGATTGCGTGCAAACGAGGGTGGCGCTCGATTGCTTGGAATTGAGAGTTGCTGCTTAATCGAGGAAATGACGAACCGCGGTGCTTTCTCGTCTCCATTCCAACAGGCAGTGGTTT